GGCTCCGGGAGGCTGAGAAAACAGACAGGGCGCCGAGGGGGCGGGGCACGGCGGGGCGGCTTCTGCTGCTCCCAGGGAACACACCGGCTTTCAGAGCCGGGCGCCCACTCGCTGCTCAGGCGGGTCTGAGGGAGAGTTTGCCAGTGTGGAAAACGGGGCTGGGCCGCATGGTGACTTGCGAGCGGGCGGTGGGGCCGGGTGGTGGGGCCGTGCGCCTACCTCATCCCTCATGTACACGCACACCGGGCTGGCCTCGCACGGCTGCTCCAGGCACTCCCTGCAGGACAGGGAATAAACGTCACGGGCCGCCCAGCACGCCGTGCACCGGGGACCCCTCCAGAAGGAGGTGGCCGCCTGCCGGCCGCCTGAGACCTGAGCTATCAACACGTGGCCTGGAGGTGTCTCCCACTGGACTCCGAGCACAAGGAGGACACAGAGCAGCGGGATGAGCAGCACCAGCCACCTCCCGAACGAGCCTCAGGTCACTGTCAAGTGTACCAGGGTCCACGATGAGGAGAGTCCCAGGGGGCTGTGATCTGGGCGTTCCCCTGAGGCGACCCTCCAGGAAGATCGCTGACTCCTGCAGGGCCAGCAGCAGCTCAGGGCACAAAACCACTGAGTGGACCCTGAGGTCAAACACCCAGGTCCCCGAGGCCACCAGTACCTTGAGTGCCATCCCCTCCACGCAGACCCCGTGGGGCAACGCCGGGGCAAACGGGGCCGCGCGTTGGTTCTTGACCAGAGCCCCACGCTGGCACTGCAGCCTGCCTCCTGCACCCAGGGTGGGGGCCTGAGGGGCCATGTGACCTTGGGCCACACCCGGGGGAGGTCCCGGTGGCAACTCCTTGTAAAGCGTGCCCAGATGCCCACATGGTCGGGCAGCACAGGGCCACACAGAGGGCTCGTGAGGGCCACCGAGTCACGGTCCCCAATAAACAAAAAAAGCAAAACTAAAGGCCACAGAAGGCTCAGGACACGGGTGCAACTCGGCCTCAAGCGGGGCCCAGGGCCACGTGGGGCGCCCGGGCGGCAAACACCGTGGCACACCACAGACTCCTCGCCCTCGTCTGGGAAACAGCAAACGCGGCAGCAGCCCCCGCCGCAACCCCTCAGCACTGTCACCCAGGTCACCCGGTGACCGAGCGCCAGACTGTCCTCCCCCTCATCCGGAGGCTGTGCTCTCCAGGAAGAGGGCAGCGGGCATCCGCCCGCCCCACACCGGGCACCAACAGCCTCTCCCCACGCAAGCTGGACCCAGATGGGAGCGAGCAGTCCCCGGAAGCACTGCGGGCCAGGCTTGGAGGGTGGCGGGCGTGCAGGCACGCGTGCACGTGTGCACACATGCATCCGCGCTACGCCCAGCACCGACTCCCACGCCCAGGCCTGCGCTGACCACCGAGGTCGCAGCTGCGCCCCGGCCGAGCCCTAGCTCTGTAGTGTCCACACGGCAAACACAGGCCTGGGACCTCCGAGGGGAGACTCGCTCCAGCATGACCTGACACACCACCGTAAACTAGGCCCCCAAGTGAACGCCCACCCCAGACTGCTCGTCCCTGGAGCCCCTGGGTGAGTCGGAGGGACAGGGGCCCTGGGGTGACCTTGGGCCACGCGGCACTGCCCGACCAGACCTCATGGCTCAAAAGTCCACATGAATGTGATTGGGACAGACACGGGAGCTGACCAGGACAGGAAGCAGCGGGCCCCCGAATGCACACACACAGTGCGCACTCCGTGCCCGAGACGGAGGGCAGGTCCTGCGGAGGCCCTGGCGCGGGTTCTGCCCACCTCCCTGTCTGCTTTGAGCTTCTGCTTTTGTGCGTTGCCCAGGGCTGAGACCCACAACCCAGAGCCAGCTGTGGGGCCCCCGGAGGAGGTGTGGCCCTGCCCAACCCTGCCACGCCAGCCTCGTCACCTCCTGAGGTCTCCACAGGAAGTGGGGGAACCGACAGCCTCCACCAGGGCGAGGATGGCCACCCGACCTCAAGCACACAGGGGGCCAGTGACCTCGGGAAAGCACAAGACCCCAGACCTCGGGAAAGCACAAGACCCCAGAATGCCAGAGGACCTGTCGCAATCCTCCCCAGGGACCCGATGCCAGTGGGACCACAAATCACAAACAGGGACAGAGCCGCCTGCCTGCTGCCCTCCGAGGCCTCTGGACATCAAACGCCAGCGCGCTTTGATGTGTGGCTCCTCCAGAGGGATCAGATTCCTGTAAACACGCGAGGGGAGGGGCGCGTGCAATCACTTCCAGACTCCGCGGCCCGCCAGCCGAGCTCCCGGCCCAGGACAGCGTGCTCAGGGGACAGACCCACGCACGCACGCACAGCCGGGCCCTCCCGCACCCGCACGAGAGCCCAGGCCCCTGCACCAGACCTTGCTGAAGCTCCGGATGTCCGCGAGAGGATGGAGCTGGGTCTCCTGAGGGCACGGTGTGCCCCCGCCACCCAGGCAGAGCCCCAAGGTGCCCGCCTGTTCACGCCTCTCCAGACACCACTTTCGCTCCCTCTAAGGCCAGCAAACCTGCTCCCCTAGTAGGGCCGGGGGCCAGTGGGCACAGCCAGTCAGGGCAGAGAGGGCTGCTGCTGCTGGCTTGACAGACGTTCCTCGCCCACCACAAAGCACGCTGTCCCCACAGGTGTAGGCTGTCCACCTAGCTAGGGATAAACCAGGTATCTGGAGCTCCTTCTGTTTGTCACCTGTTTGGGCCTGACCGAGTCACGGCTGGTGCAAACACAGATTGTGCCGACACACGCCTGGCACTACCACGCTCCCCCTGCCAGAACAACGAAACCAAGCCACACTGACGGTGCTGTGACCTCAGGCTCAGAGGGGCTCCTGCTGCACAGGGAAGCCCACCCTGGGTGAGGCCACAGCCCGGGGGAACCGGGTGACTTACGCCCACCAGCACCTGGCAGCCCGGCCACCAGGAGACGAAGAGATGAAGTTAAGGGAGCGAAGAGGTCAAGGCTGGACGGAGCCAGCCTCCTCCTCCAGGGCACACGGACAGGGACAGTTTCAAGAGGGAGAGGCCTCTGGCCTTCCCAACGGAAGGAGGGCGAGGGCTGCCCCAGGGCTGAGTGGACACCTGGCGCCTACACTTCCGGCCGCCAGCAAGGCCCCAGGCCAGGCACACAGATGACCCCGGCCTGGGCCCTGCCCTCAGAGGCAGCCCTCTCCACAGCTCGCCAAGCCCCAGGGGCCGCACGACCCCAGGAGGAACGTGCTGAGGGCCTGCCCTTGCCAGAGACACTAGCATCCCCGCTGTCACTGCTGGGGAGACAAACCTGTGGGCTTGGCTGTGAACTCGGGCTGGGAGCAGAGGGGCCCAGGGCCTCAGGGAAGAAGCTGGCCTGGGCGGCACACTTGGAACCCTTGTCCTGGTGGCCCTCCCTGCAGCAGATGCTCTAGAAGCAGAGAGGACAGGACAGGCCACCAGAGGTGCCTAGCAGCACGATGCCGGCCCCAAGGGAGGCCAGCCCCAGGTGTCGGTACCCAGACCTCAAAGAAACCCCCCATCCACAGAGAGCGTAAAGTGCCTCGCTTCCCTGTGGGTCACACGTGCAAAGGGCAACATGCCAGATGCACCGGGTCAAGTTCATCAGACCCCTAAAATTAACGGCACCTGTTCTTACTTTGATGTGGCCACCAGAAAATTCTTAATTACCTCTGTGGCCCACACGTGTGGCCCATGTGGCATGTCAAGCGGCCAGTTAGTAGCCCCAGATGCGGGGGCTCAGGGCCGGACCATAGCCACCCCAATCCCTGGGCAAAGGACCCTGCCTCCGAGCAACACGGCCCCGGGGTGTGCTCGCCTCCTGCAGCCGGCCAACTGCTCTGGGACACTCGCCTCTTCCCGAGAGCACCAAGTGAGGAAAGCCAGCTTCCCACGTGTCCCATCCTCTGGGGACCCGGCATCTCAGAGACACCGCTCCTGCCTGTGTGCCACTCTTAGATCTCACTCGGACCTGCCAGGGGCCACTCGTGTCTCCACGTCAGTGTCCCTGCGGTGGCAGGCAGCTGACCAGCTCCCGCTCCACCAACCAATCGGGCACCTGGCTGTGACTCTGACGCTGACACCGCCCCCTGTCCCTCAGGGGAACCGCTTTGCATATAGTGAATGCAGCCGAACGCGGGCTTCTGGGGAAAGACTGGGCTTGCGGAACTTAAGGACGCCCGACCAGCCAGCCCGGCAATTCTGCCCCTCAAACACGTGTTCTCGGGGGAACGGGGGCGTGCAGACCTCCAGCTGTCTGTGGACTGGCAAACGGAACTGGTGGCTGGGGCGCCCACAGGAGGCAGCGCCCACAAATGACCCGCACGCCGCAGGCCGATGCAGTGCGAGGGTCTCCAGGACGTCACGCTGCGTTCGCGTGCAGGAAGGAACGGGGCGTGGCACCGCCGTGTGACTCGTGTGACTACCATCCACCCCGGGGCTTTACACAGACAGCCTCGCCGGGCCACCTCCCGATGTCACCCAGTCTCTTCCAAGAGCCGTCTCCACGTCCCCCTGCTGTTTCTTAAACCACAGAAGTCAACTCGTCCTGCAGGGCACGTGTAAACCACAGATGTCCCCAGGGGCAGCCCCTCGACCAGCTCCCCACCTGGCCCCGCCCTCCGCGCCTCCACCCAAGGGACTAGGACGCTCCCCACACTTGCCTGGCTGTCTGCGCCTGCAGCGGACTCTCCCCCTGGGCACCCCCACCGCTGTCACTGCAGGGCATCTGGCCCTCTCTCCACGGAGGCCCCAGTTTCCCTCCGGCTCCCGGGTGGCTGGCGCTCGGGCTCCCTGCCCTGTCGGCTGAGGCACTGCCTGTTCCTTCCGCGGAGCCTGGTCCCCTCCCCCTGCCTTGCCCCCGTTTTGTGGGCACAGCCTCACACCACCCACGGTCCCTTCCATTCTGCTGGCTGAGCCCTTTCAAAGTGGACAAAGCCCTCCACGTCGCGATGAGAGACCGAAACACAGAGAGTCTGCCCCGTCTGGGAACAGAGTTCATCCTGTTAAGCACCAGGCAGAAACGGATACACGTCGATTACCGTGAAAAAGGTTTTCTTTTTAAACATGACCCATTTTCACAATGAGAGTTTTATACCTAAAGCACATGTCACCTGATGGGCCCTGCACCCCATTTCCTCCCATACTGCTCACCAAGCCTCTGGGGGCCTCTCGGGTCCCCCACAGAGCACGAGAGTGGGCTTGCTCACCCAGGAGAGCCGGTGCAGCTGATGAACGGCGGCCCCGCCCCTAGACCAGTCCCCTCACCAGGACCGAGACCCCCAGGTGCGGCCTCCAGCAGCAGCAGAGCCACCACAGTGTCCCCACCGTGGCATCCCCATGCGGTGGCGGGCAGAGCCGGAACCGCTCCCCGACGCTCACCTGGTCTGTGCGAAATGACTGAGAAGCTCCCAGAGCGTCTGGCCACAGCAGAAGGTGTCTTGCAGCCTGGAGCCGTCATCCAGCTGCAGGGCGATGCGGACCTGCGCAGCGAGGCACGGAGCGAAGGTGAGGAGGCGGCCGCGGTGCCGCCGGGGCCCACGCAGGTGTGGGGGAACCGACCGCTCCGGGTCCGTGCCGCCCGCGCACACTGTGCGTTCCAGCACCGCGAGCTGCCAGGTGTGGGCGCGGTGTGTCATGGAGCCACGAGGACTAACGTGCCACGTTTTCTGAACTTTTTCTAGCAATGAGCACATCGCTTTTAAAAGTCCATTTTTAGTACTTATGTCCCTAAACAGGAACACGGTCCATAACCCAAAATGGGGGAAACTCCTTTTGGGTCCCACCACTGAGTGACAACGCACTGGAGAGTGCGGAGCCCCGGAGGCGAGCATGTCCAGCACCCCCTGGGCCTGTGGCTGAACTGTCTGTCATGGCCACCCCGCTGTTTGGGCCAAGGGCTTCTTCTTCAAGTGCACATTTGCATTAAACCCCAAAACAAGAGAGAGGCTGCTCTGGGTAAAACGAGTCTCCTGACCCCCAGGAACCCCCGTGGAGAGTCAGCCCCTTCCCTGTGAAAGTCTGAGGGTCAGCGGCGCTAGGTCAGTCCTCAAGACCCGACTCCTGGTGGGCTCTGCAGACCTGGCCTCGCCCTGGGCACCTACCGTGTTCCCGGGCCCCTCGCGGCTGCGGGATGCGGGCACCATCTCCAGCTTGGCGTTATTGGGCAGGTTGGCGAACCTCCACGGCAGAGTGAGGTCAAGCACGTTCCTCTGAAACCTGCAACGTGGACCAGAGCCCAGGCTGCCCCGCAGTGCTGACTCAGAGGCCCAGCGCTGGAGCCGCCGGTGCCCCAGAGCCTGCGAGAACGGGGCCATGTCCACGGGCGTGCATGGGGGACCCTGTGGCAGCGGGCCCTCCGGAGGAGAGAGGTGAGCGGCACAGCTCCGTGGGAGGTGGAGGCAGGCCCAAGGGCAGGCGGGGGAAGAGACCGCACAGAAGCAGAGGAGGGCATGTGCACCCGGACCGCGCTCACTCCCCGCCAACGACCAGCACCCACCCCCTGCCTCCTGCCGCCTAGGCAGAGCCACAGCCACAGAGAGCGAGGCACACGCTCTAGACGACCACAGCCCCACGAAGAGCCAGGCCCTCATGCAGCCAGGGTCCGGAGACGACAGGCAGAGACTCCCGTGCCGGCTTACAAAGCCCCGCACTCAAACCCAGCGCCGCCCTCATTCTCTGCCCGTGTCCTGCACGCATTAGCCGCCACTCAGGGACCCGGCGGCTCTGAGTGTCCCAGCCAGTCAGGAGGAGGCCAGCTTGGGCCCCCAGACGGCAGGGTGGGCCTGCAGCCTCCTCTGACCCCTGTGCACAGGGCTCCCGGGGCCAAGGGGTACAATTTCTCAGAAGGAACTGGGTGCATGAAGAGATCTGATGAGGCAGGGTGGGCAATACCCGCCGGCAGGAGAGGGGGGCAGGGCGACAGTCCCGGGGCCTCCGTGATCCTGCTGGTCTTAGTCACCACAGCCCGCCCTCCCGGAGGGCCAGGCCAAGCACGCTCCACATGCTTCACAAATAAGACACTCAGGTGAGAAGAGCCGACAGGTAGCCGAAAGTACTCCAGGCCACCCGGAGGCAGCGCAGGGACCACGCGGACGCGTGGCATCCAGCACGGCTCCCACGTTGGCCGTGGACCACAAGGAGCCAGACACCTGCCCCTGAGCGAGGAGGACGGGTGGAGTCTCACCCATGGGTAGGGAGGGAGGTGGCCAGGTGGCCCTGGAGCACCCCTGACCCGGGTCCCTCTCCTCCCGAGCCCCCAGCTCCCAGCACCCCTACGGAGCAAGAACCACAGCTGTTAAGCGACAGAGCACTTGGGCATGAGAAGAGCTCCCGCCCGTGGCGTCTGTGGCCTTGACTGCAAGGGAGACAGACAGCGGACCAGGAGAGCAACTAAGAACTTGTAGCATAAAAGTCAGACTGCAGCTCTATTCTCAACAGAAGCTTAAAAAAAAAACACTACCGTGCCGGTGAGAGAACGGGTGAGACCCAACACACAGTGGTCACCCGACAGCATGAACGCCGGCTCACCGCTGGACACGACGGTGCTTTTCTGAACATGAACAGTTTGTGAGGCCCAGGCGTTCAAAAGAAGGCAGTTTTGATACCCATCTTCAACGCAGGCTGGAGACTGTCGAGCAACAACTCTAAGTTCTAGTTTGAGACAGGATGAGACTGGACGGCAGATGGGGGGGGAACCTAAGGGCAGGTGGGCGGGGAGCCTGGAGGCGAGGGGAAGGTGTCGCAGGAGCACTCAGGAGGCTGCTTCCCTGACAATGGCAGCATCTTAAACAAATGACAGCTGGCCCTTGAACAAGGGGGTTAGGGGCGCTGATACCCGCAGTCAAAGATTCCATGTATAAGTCTGACTCTCCAAAACGTAACTACAGTCATCCCTCAATATCCGCAGCCCCGCCGACCAGATACCAAAACCCACAAATGCTCAAGTCCTTTATGTAAAACAGCATAGGTCAATGCACACAGTCAGCTTCCGCATCCGCGGCTCAAACAGTACAGGCATCTGCACGCACACATCCAGCCGTGCTCTTCGAGGGGCGGCCGTCCACAGCCGGCGGATAAAAGGGAGAAGGGGGATGAGGCTGCAGGAGACCCGACGTTCTGCCGGCTCCGACCAGGCACTAGCCAAGGAGACGCGAGAGGACACATGGCTGTGACAGGAAGCCAGGGGATGCCCAGCACGGAGCATGGGCCTGGGGACTCTTGGGGGCCAGGCAAGGAAGTAGAGAGCTGGGATGACATGAGGGCACCTCCACTCAGAACCTCCTGTGCCAAAGGCCCCGCACACAACGCGGCACAGCAGAGGCCCAGGAGAGCAGGTGCCCACACCACGGGCTCCTCCCTGCCCCAGAGTGAGGACAGCCACACAGGGAAGACAGGTCACCAAGTGGGAACACCCAGTGTGGTTCCGCCCCTTGCCTGGTTTTGGACCCTGTGAATCGGTGCCCGGCCTCTCTCTGGAAACACACCCACACGCAGACCGTGGGCACTACAGCTCCAGGGCCGAGGCCTGCGGACCTGCCCAGGGCACAGGTTTCTTCCCAATCTCCATGACCACCTATCTTGCCCTCAGAGCCCCACCAGCAAATGACACAACCAAATGCACGAAAACCCTGTGCAGTGGGTTGAATGGTGGTCCCCAAAAGATACACACATCCTCACCCCCAGAGCTCGTGACTGTGACCTCATTTGGAAAAAGGGACTTTGCAGTCTTGAGTTCAGGTCTCAACACGAGGTCATCCTGGATCAGGGTGGCCCTAAATCCAATGACAAGTGTCCTTATAAGAGAGAGAAGACGACACACACACACACAGGAAGGAGCTATGGGAAGAGGAAGCAGAGACTGGAGTGATGTGGCCACAAGCTGAGGGACGCCTGGAAGCCCCAGATGCTGGAAGAGGCAGGACGGACCCTCCCCTAGACCTCTGGAGGGAGCACGGCCCTGCAGCACCTGGGCCGGGACTTCTGGCCTCCAGACTGTGGGAGAATAAACTGTTGGTTTAAGCCCACTGGCGGGGCCCTGGGAGACGGGGTGGATGGACTCGGATCGCAGCCTGGCCAGAGCCAACTCACTTCAGATCGTATTCGCTGGGGTTGAAGTCCTGCCGCCGGCACGTGTCCTCAAGGACCTGGGGGTAAGATGGGAGGACCTGAGCCACTGTGTCTGGCCTGGTCACTTGGTTGGCAGGCACAGTGGCAGGGAGGCAGCTGAGGGCACAGAGCCCATCTCTCGGAGAACCGGTTGGCTCTTCAAGACAAAGCCTAGTACAAACCACATGATGGACCATCCACTTGGTAGCTCTGTGTGCCTCACCCACAAATCCTGTTCTTTGTCCCCCTCCTTGCTGAGCCTGACTTGTCACCCCAGCTCTGCTGGACAGCCTCCAGGACAGGACCCTACAGCCCATCACTACAGACATCTCCCTACACATATTCCAGACCCCCTCCTCACAGAGAATAAAGTCCAAACTTGGGCCACCCCTGCCGGCCTCCTCCCCATGAGCCAACTCCACAGAGCCAGCCCAAGCGGGTCCTGGGTGCTCCCCTTCTGTGCCCTGAACACAGTCCCCCCACCCCACCCTGGGGGCTCCTCCCAGCGGACCCTAATATGCGTACTGTCCCCTACACAGCAGGGTTGAATGAACATTTTTAACGTAATGGATTCGGAGTCAACCAGCTGCCCTGGTGAAACTGCAGCGAATGACTCAGCAAGTCGGTTTCCAGGCACAGAGGCCGTCACGCCCAGCCACGGCGGATGTGGGCCGGAAGACACCCGCGGGATGGGGACTCGGGCCGGGACCCTGTGAGGCTGGCTCGTGCGCACGGCAGACGCGGTGGGGGCGAACGAGGTGCCGCCCCTCGCCCCAGAGCCCCACGCCCTCAGCCGAGCAGGGACCAGAGAGCCCCGGACCCCGGCC